AAAGGTGATAGGCATCATTACAGAGGAATGTAAAAATATGATGAATGCGCAGGTGAAGTAAAGACAAGCTACCCAGCTAACCAGGAGTTCCCATGTGAACAAGGGCAGGGTTAGCATGCCAGAAAGGGAAGGCATGTTTCTGGACACTGAAAATAGGGAGCTAGAGCATAATGCATGGAAGAAGAGTTAAGAGATAGCTAATGCAGACAGGCTGAGTCTAGGATTTAAATGGCCTGTATGCTATGCCAAGGATATGAATTTTATCTCTGCTGCTACTGTGTGTAACAATCACCCAGGAAACTTGTCAAAATGCAGTTTCCTGGGTCTCCCTACTAGCGATTCTGACCCCAGTGGTCTGGATCCAAGGATTGTAATTTTAATATGAACTCAAGGTGATTGTGATGAAGGTAGACAGTAGGTCATACTTTGAAAAGTGCTAGAGGAAATAGGGAACTTCCAAAGCAATGGCAGAAACTAAAGTAGTCCAGAGACATTGATGGCATGGCCTGCACTCAGGGGTGGGAGGGTAGGAGGAGGAGAAACCATGGATATTTCAGAGAAGAAGCAGTCACAGTTGAAAACTTCAAACATAATGGCTGGGACAATTGGTGTTCAACAAGTTGTAATTGAAGCTGATTTTTTCTGCATGTCGTTGCTACCGATGGTTAGACATAGAAGAGCAAATCCATAAAGAACTTTGCTATTACCTGAATTTGACCCTGACTTTTTGGAGTTGGAATTGTTAAAAGACGGAAAACCAGACAAATGTCCCACATGTAGGGCCAGTCCTTACCAGGACACAGCAGAGTTCACCCTCCCCCTGTCCTTCCTCAGTGCTCTTAAGTCTGGGGCAGGCTGTGTGGAATGGCCAAATTCCACTAAATGGGCTTGAATCTGTGAATCATTTCAACTGGATCAGAAGCAGATGGACAGTTCATGGGATGCTTCCCGACCAAATGTTTGCTTCTAAGCCATGCAACCCTTGACAAGGACTACAGAGCTTTGGCAAAACAAGAAGCTGCCAAATTGATGTTGCTTTCCCAGAGAACCTCTTGTTCACCCAGCCCTGATTTAGATGGAATTCAGACCATAGCAGAGAGCAGGCAGCTGGAGACAGGAGCTGGCCTCACATACCTTACTCAGAATTCAGCCAGCAGTGGACTCTGTCTTGCCACAGAGTTGCCACCACCCTAGTTGGATCCAGTGTCAATCAGTGCTTTTATTGCTTTTTGTTGGCATGTTCTCCTGCTCAGCCTTAACATTCATTTGGGATGTAGATAGTTCTGTAGTCTGGAAGTGCAGAATGGTTTATTTCTCATGTTCAGTCAAAACACTTCAGAAAATATTTTCGTTGAAAAGAGAAACCAGACCATGAAATTAGTTTCTTGCCACATCCTAGTAGAACAAAGCTTGCCTTAAAGGTCCTGGGTCCTTTCCATCCTGAGTGTGACATATTTTGGTAAAGTAAAAAGAGCACTGGAAAGGAATGAGGTCATTTTATTTGAGTCCTAACTCTCACTCTGTTATTAACTAGTTTTGTGAATTTGAGCAAGTTGCTCCCTCCCTGGGATCTGTGACAGGTTGGTTCCCTGAGAAACAGATTGTGAGACTTTGAAATTTGCATGCAGGAAGTTAATGAGGAATATACCCAGGAACAATACCAATGAGGGATGGGGGATACTAGATGACAAAGGGAGAATTTGAATTGTAATGAGGTTGGCCCCTCAGAGTTGTTCACTTTAAGGTAAAGAGAACAGCTTTTATATCTACAGTCTCCCCCCGCCCCCACACACACACTGCATCAACCATTGAATATGGGCTGTCCCCTAATATGGGTGTAACTTAGAGCAAGGCAGCTATTTTTTAAGAGGAGCACTTTTTAGAAGGACTCAGCTATTAACATTCACAGCAGACTTAGTCTGAAAGTAGGATCTGGACTGCACACTACAGCATGCACTACATACTGTTCCTTAGTTTCAACCTCAATACTGTGTCTAGATTGGAAATGTCCGTATCAGTTATCTAGTGCCACAATAAGGCTATGTAATAAAGACCCACACACCTCACTGGCATACACTATTAAATATTCATTTAGTTACAAGTTTGTAGGGTTTAGCTGACCTGGGCTTGGCTTGGCTAGGCTTGCTCATGTATTTTCAGTCAGCTACAAGTTGGTCAGCTGATCTTGGCTGGGTTTGCATAAAGGCTAGGTGTCATGCCAGCTGATCTGGGATAGCCCTGGCTGGGATGAGACCAGAGTAACTTGATTTGACTTATTCTCTAGAAGTCTGGTGTGGATATGTAATCATGGCAATGGTCGAGGCAAGAGTAATTCCAAATGTGCAAACTCACTTCTAGCTTCTATTTGTGTTACTTGTGCTAACAAAGCAAGTCAGATGAGTTCAAAATCAAAAGGCAGGAGAGTTCAACCCATTCACCATAACAGGGAGCTGCAGTTACTGGGCAGAGTGTAGTAGGTACAGGGACGGGTGGAGAATTGGGACCATTTTTAAAATCTGCTATAATCTCCAACTTCCTTCTGTCTCAGCCACTCAATGGTTTTTGTGATTTTATCTGTTACGTAAATGCTAATAGTCTACTTTTTATTCTGATTAGGAACTTGAACTCTGTCCAAGAATACTTATTTCTGAATCCAGCACCCAAAACAGAATCAGTTCAGAACACTAGAGACAAATATTTTGTTTAATGAACAAAAACAAAAATGAATGTGTGTTGGGAATTAAAAGTAGTAATTCCTAAGTTCGAGATAAAATCTGGTTTGTAAAATCTTAGAATCAGAAAAGAAATTGTTAAGGGAATTTTCAAATTCAGTTTTTAAATGATATTTTTCTAGTTATTCATTATTTCTAATCACAAAGTAAAATATGTTCCATGTTAAGATGTAAATAATATAGACATGCATAGAGTAAACAATGAAAGTTTCTACCCTTCCTCTCCCCACTCTCCAGAGGCAACTGTAGGAGCAGAAAAATATTTTTTCTTCTATCCTTCTAAGTTCTTAAGTCCTGATAATCAAAGTAACTAGAGACTGATTAACAGGATGAAATGACCAAACTTATTACTTATGTACATACAAGGGTTCCATATGAATACAGGATCCAGGGACAAATTGAGCAGGTGTGGTTTGAGACTTCAAAGTGCAGGAAGGCAATTTACAAACTTTTTACAAACAAACTTTCTTTGGGCCAACTTTAACAAGGGGGCCCAGAAAAGACTTTGATCAAACAGGCCTAACTAGGTTCCTTCATTTTCATCACACCTAGTTTATATTAAACTATATTTATGTATGATATCTCCCTTCCTGGAGCAGGTCTTCTGTCTAAATTCTTCAGGGAGAAGGTAAAAACTACTTCATGAGTCTCAGTTCTTAAAAATAACCAACTTAAAATAGTCAATATCCCAAAAAAAGGGCATATTTTGGGATGACAAATTCGGCTTCTCCTCACAACCATTGTTAACAGTTGTATGTCCTGCTGGACCTTTTCCTGTGCATATTCACATGTGGATGTATTATCTTTTATCTTGTTTCCTTTCAATGAAGAATAAAGTCATACTATACATTTTATTCTGCAACTAGGTTTTGTTACTCAACGAGGTATACCAATAATAAAAAACAATAACACAAATCTAGCAATTCTTTTAAATTGATTTATGTTTTATGCATGAGAGCAAAATGTGCATCTAAAATAGTTTATATCTATGAGGGCTATTATTTTTCATTTTGTAGACAGTGCTTGGTCCTCATGTAGGTTCCATGCCTTTGAACCACCTCCATGAAGAACTATTCTGATTTGGGAAGGAAAAAAGATTATTTCCTCTCTCATTTTGATCTACTTGGGAGAAATCAAGTTTCTTATTTATATACTTTCAATGAAACTAATCAAATAAACAAAAGTAATAGTTAAATTATAATTGTCCCTTTAAAAAAATAAATACAAGAGTGATGGTCAATTGTACTCAAGCTATATAATTTCAGTATCTGCAAAATTATGGTTGTTTCTACTGCACTACAATTCATTGGGTAGCAATGTTAATAATAACTGATAGATTCTCTTCACCAATGTATCTATTAATCACATATTTGTTAAGTTTAATTTTTTACATTTAAAAAAAGTACAGGGGATTATTTTGCAGATAAAAATTCTAGTAGAGTTGAAGGAAACACTGTGACTTGTATGGGAGAGAAGAAATAAATAAAGCTGTCCTATCATTTACAAAAGGCTTTCCAGACATAGGAGTTGCCATGTTCATACTTCCTATTAACCCAGTGGCACCTTCAGGAACCATTCTGAATTATAATAATTTATTTTAAAGACTTAATATTTGAAAAAAATAGATAATGGTTAAAACTCCCATAAGTTCAGTAACACTCTTCTTAAAATTATATTCACTTGCAAAATTTGGATTATGAATAGCTTGACTTTTTTCTGGAGCCAAAATGAACTTGATGCTAGGTTTGAACATAGACTTTTCCTTTTTCTCTATAGCAATAGCATGGTTCACTGATTCCCAAAGTGATTCTATAATAAAAGGGAGAAACAGACCCAGATTTTAGACTTAAATAAATAGCTAAAACTAAAATAAATTTTAAAATTAAATAAAACTTAAAAGTACCTGGTTTACTTCCCTGGTGAGTTAGGGTAATGACTCATTCTGGGTGAGGTGGCAGCCTTCTTGCAGGGATGGCTCAGCAGTCTCTCATTTTGCTCCTAATGACTTACTTTAACCAAGGTGGGCAGAGATGGAGCTTGGTCATCTTTAGAAGAGTGATTTTCGAAATGTGTTTATTTATTCATTCATTTCTGTATTTATTTATTCACTTTGTAAACTTTTATTTAAACCAAATGTTAGTCAAATATGTGCAACTAATGAAAGCTGTTCTAATTAACTCTGGATGGAGGCCCAGAGCTTCTACCCATTTGTTCCTATTGATTTCTATCTTGTCACAACATATTTATTTACATTTCCTTTGCTTTAAGATAATGAGAAACCCATGCAAGTGGTGGATGATGAGGACTTGGTAGACCAGCATCTCATCAGCGAGCTGAGGAGAGAGTATGGAATGACCTATGATGACTTCTTCATGGTGCTAACAGATGTGGACCTCAGAGTCAAGGTATGGGTTCCTGATTTGGATAATGTGGAGCCATTCCTTACAACAGCAACTCTGAATTTTTTTGTCACTGAGTCTAATAGATATGAGTGAACACAAATCCTATATAATAAAAACCTAATATGCTAAGTGTCCGGTTGACCAGTGGGCCATTCAACCAATCAAAGCATAATATGCTAATGATATGCTAAGGCTGCTCAACCACTTGCTATGATGTGCACTGGGGGAAGATGCTCCAATCAGTAGGTAAGCTTGCTGCTGGAGTTGGGTCGATCAGGACTAAGCGAGATGGGCAGGACACACCCGGGAGCCCTCCTGCAGTCCCTCCCCAGCCCCAATAATGCACTGGTGGGGTCCCTTGGCCTGGCCTGCACTCTGTCACAAGCTGGGACTCCTCAGGGGATGTCAAAGAGCCAGTTTTGGCCCGATCCCACAGGCCAGGCTGAGGGACCCCACTGGTGCATGAATTTGTGCACTGGGCCTCTAGTTATTTTATAAATGGGAAAATTTTGAAATGGTCCAAATATTCCATGTTGGTCTATAGAATTTGTGTCCAGAAATGTGGTCTCTGAGAAAGACTGAGTTGGATGACCCCCTATGCCCCACATATTTCACTCAGACTAAATTCTTCTATAACATCAATGTCTTGCATTCATTAGAAACTTGTTGAATAGCAATGGTGTACCAGGCCCTGGGGATAAAGATAAAGAGTATTTGGCCTCTGCCTTCAAGACAACCAGATTTGACATAGGTCTACTTAGGAAGGACTTACTAATTTAACTCCTGATTGAATATGGACAAGACAGTCAGATTTTATACCTACTTTGTACATATGCTTGAAGACAAAGGTTCTGAACTATGAAGAATCATTTTAAAAAATAACAAAAATAGCTAACTTTGTTGAGTGCTTTCTTTATGCCAGGCTCTCACCTTAACTATTGATAACCTTTATCTTACATATCTAAGATAAATAACAAGAATTACTTTTATTTCACAGAGGAATAAACAGAGGTCTAGGTTGGTTAAGTATCTTGCACAAGTCACCCAGTTAGCATTGGACTTCATATCCATAAAGACTTGCTCCAGAGTCCACTGTTCTAGCCATTCAAGTGTACTGAGAGTACATCATGCTTATGCGAAAATCATCAGGAAAAAGTCTGCCTGGGCTATCCGTACAGCTGATTCAACCTGCAGTATTTTTCTGGATCTAGAAAGAGGTCCCTTCATTAATTCTTCTTGTACTTGTGCAGCTGACCTCTAATCTTAGATAATCCCTAAGTTTTCTGCCAGCTTTCACATCCTCTGGTTGACTTAATTTTCCACTGGGGGCCTATGTAACTCCAGGCCATGTCCTTAATGTATGCTGCTTATGCTCAGCCAGCCTCCAAATCCATCTTAGGTTGCTGTTGTAAGTCCAGACAAGAATGATGCAGCAAATTTAATTTTATTATCCTTGAATTCTATCCCATTTTTTTTCTGAGAATACATAAGAAAATGACCTAATTTTAAAGGATGGTCACTCAATAAAATAATCTCTGGGAATCATAAAGAGTTTATGCAGATTCCTAATGGCCAAATAACAGTTCCACTACTGGTAGACAATTACTCTTATTGCTCAGGTAGAATATTCTAACATGTTATTCCATTCCTGTGTTAGATATAGCATTTCTCACTTCCTCGCCAGTTGTGTAGTGAACAGGAACCAGTTTAGTCCCAGAAGTAGGGAAGTGAACTTAGGATATGTGTGGTGAAGGAGGCATGGACCCTTTCCAATAAAAGGAGTGCAGTTGAGAAGCAATCCTCATAAAAGGTAAGCGGCGGTTGTCTCATGGATTCTGAAGTTCATAACATCAGCAGAGGTACTATTACAGGAGAGAGTTTCTAAAGCACTGACCCCTCCAGGCTCTGATTTTTTCAGAGTTCCATTGAGTTCTCCTGGGCTCCCTATTCTCTGAGCAGAGGGAAGAAACATGCTTATACATTATATACTTTCTATTTTCTTAAACAGCAATATTATGAGGTGCCTATAGCAATGAAGTCTGTGTTTGACCTGATCGATACTTTCCAGTCCCGAATCAAAGACATGGAAAAACAGAAGAAGGAGGGCATTGTTTGCAAGGAAGACAAGAAGCAGTCACTGGAGAACTTCCTATCCAGGTACATCACCTTTGGAGTCTTCCAGGAGATGGGCAGGAATGTGTTCTGGGTGAGCTAATGAAAACGCCCAGGAAGCACAGAGCAGACATGTGCAGAGAGTCACCTTCCCTGGTGAAAGGTCTGTCTGCTCCCCAGCCCTCTGGCTACTGGGCTTAGTCTTTGCCTTATCGGAAGTAGCTCTGCTCACAAGGCTGGCTGGGGTCAGCTGCAAGCTTGAATGTTGATTTAATGGCTTTGGATGAATCTTTTCTGCTCCTTTTTTGGGCACAAAATACAGAATTCTGCCCTGTGAGGGTTACTTTATTCAGTCAGTGAATTTGGAGGGCTTTGTATACAACAATTGTATTTTACGTATTTATTTATTTATTAGGCCCTTTCTAGTTTCAAACAGGATTTGGAACACTGTGCTTGATTTTCTGCTTCCTTCCAACTCTGCAGAGAAAACAAAAGCCCTACCAGGACCTCAAAAGGAGCAATCTTCTTGGCTCAGCTCCCTGGTTCCCTGGGGAGGGTGGTTTATTGCAAACTGTTGTAGGGAAGCTCTTTTCTGTACACACAGAAAAGAATGTAAAAAAAAAATCTCTTCATGTCATTCCTTCCCTACCCGTCCTTCCTGCATGTTGCATAAAAATTCTACAGGGCCTTTGGGTACAAAGCTGCACTAATTCCACCTACAACAAGTAGGCTCACCCAAACTGAATCGTGTGGCTGAGGGGCTCCTGAAATGGAGCAAGCCTTTGCTTGGAGACTTGGTGTTAACTGTGTATCACTCCAGGCAGAACTTCCGAACTTGTATCTATAAAGCACATTCTCCATAAGCAAGTCAGAGAATCAAGAATTGTATGATGTGTAAATGATAATCTGACTTCCTCTAGATTCAGGAAGCGTGGGCCTCTTAGGAGATAACCCAGGGGTGGGCAAACTTTTTGACTCAAGGGCCACAATGGGTTCTTAAACTGGACCGGAGGGCCAGAACAAAAGCATGGATGGAGTGTTTGTGTGAATAATATAAATCCAAAGTAAACATCATTACATAAAAGGGTACGGTATTTTTTTTTCAATAGTTTTATTCATTTCAAACGGGCCAGATCCTGCCCGCGGGCCGTAGTTTGCCCACGGCTGAGATAACCTCATGATGTGTAAAGAGCATAGGACTTAACATTCACCTAAGTTTTGGATCTGCAGTTTACTAGCTATTTTGCCCCTATTTTTCTTAATTAAAAATCTCTCAGGGACAAATGAGAATAAAGATAGTAAATAGTCCTACATCTATCCCAAGCTTGCTGTGATCACTTCCTGTATGCTCACCTCTGTGTCAAGTACTTCACCTTCTTTTGTGGGTTTAGTCTTCACAATGATCCAGTGATCTAAATACTATAACTATTGTCATGTTGCAGATTAAACATCATGGAGAGTAAGTAACTTTCTCTCATCACTCAGCTGGTGTCAGCTCTAGGACTCCGTGGCCCCAGGATAACCTGGCTACCAAAATCCACATTCTTATCTGATACTCCTTTTGAAAATATGAAATGAATGATTTTTAGTCCAGAGACCCAGAGTTTGAAGTGAAAGGAGATCATCCTAAAACCACAGGATTTCAAAGCTAAAAGGAATCTGAGGTTCTTCCTTCACCCAGATTTTCAGTGCAGTGCAAGGACCTGGAATGGAGATGGCAAGTGCATGCCTCCACAGGACTAGACACTCAATTCAGCCTTCATGCCACTCTCTCGGCTGAGAAAGGGCTCTAGGACTCCACAGGCAAATAGCTTCTCGTTCAGTGCTGGGGCCACTGAAACATCAACTTCTGATCCCAGCTCATCCCTGTAGATGGCATTGACTTAGAAGAAGAAGAATAAGAGCTTATGGTTGTTCTCAAGGAGTTTTTTAAAAGTATATTTTCTTTTTCTTTCAATTTCTCCTTCTTTCCTTCCTTCCTTCTTTCCTTGTAGAAAAGATTCTTTAAAAGTTTGCTTTTAATCTTAGTTCTCTCTTAAACATTTAAATTAGACTTTTAAGTCTTATAATCCTATCTAATAATAGACAAACATGGTAATTAACCATACCTCTGCTACGCTTCCCATTGGCTAATCAGGGTGATATGCAAATTAACTGCCAACCAAGATGGCGGCCGGCAGCCACGCAGCTGAAGCGAACATGAGGCTTGGTTGCCCCGGCAATGGAGGACGCCAAGGTTCCCCGCCTGTGTCGGCCCAGCTCTAAGCTGCACTTTAAGCAACAATGTTGCAATTATAGAAGGTAAATAAACCCCAGATACCTGTTTTCAGCTGGCCATGGCCACAGAGCTGGAGCGAGCAGGATGCTTCCCTTGGCTGCTCTGGCCAGCTCTGAGCTCCTCTCAAGGCTACAAAGTTTCAATTATAGAAGGCAAGTAAATCCTAGAATAAAAAAGAAAAAAAGGAGAGGCTG